CAGCCACCACCCGGATGGATGGCGAGGTGCATCTTGCTCGTGCATACATTGACATGGGGCCTTGGTATTTTTTGGTTTTCTCGGAATTGCCGGTAGGAGCGAGGCCGTGTTGGGTCTCCAGAACTCATTCGGATCGTGCCCAGCCAGGCCGAGGAGCTGGAGGCCGAGTGCGAGGTTCTGGAAGCGGCGGCGCAGTCCTTGAAGCTCTCGCGGGGGATCACAGGTTACCGGGAGCCCTAAAGCGGAGTGGAGGGCGAGGTGGCGTTTTTCTGAGCTTCCGAGGCAGCAAAGCTCGCACCTGACGGAGCTCGTCTCTGAGGGCCCAGGCCAGTCAAGACATCCGAACTGCCCCGAACTGCATGAAAGCTGCAGACCCTGAGACTGTGCAGTCGTGCTGTGCGGAGTGGAAGGGGGTGGGCCTGTTGCTATCCGGGGCTGCCGGTCCTCGCATCTCCATCGGGTCCTAGGCTAATGCAGGTCCCAGACGTGAGGCTTGAGTATCTTGAGTCATGTCTCTCCTGACTGGTGCTTTTTCTGACGCCTTTGCGCCGCAATGTGCCGCAACCGCCGCTCAGCTCTCAGGCGGGCCTTCCTTCTCCGAGAAGCCGGAGGCCGGCCTGGCCTGGGAGGCCATGGGCCCAGCACCGAGCACGGCCGCTTTTTGCGCGTGGCTTCCTTCTAGAGCCTTGAGAAGGCCCGTGAGCCGATCTCCGCGCTGCATGTGCCGGGTCAGGGCTCCGCAGGCATCGCAGGCTGAGACGCTGGGACGCAGGGGGGGCTTCCAAGCTTCCATCTGTCCAAGCTGGCTCGAAGGTGTCCAGGAAGTGAAAGCAGGCATGTTGCAGGAGCAATTCGGCAAGAGAGTCTTTGCTTTCGCGCTGTTGAAGTTCTTTGGCCAGAGGACTCCGTGAGCAGTCCTGCTCACTCAGCCGTCACAACTCCTGCTACGAGCGGCTACCAGACTCTGCCCAAGGGAGTATCTTGCTGAGATCAGGACATGTGGCTCCTCGGACCCCTTGTCTCAGCCCATCTGCCATTGCAGCTCAGGTGGACCCGGTTGAGGTGGCCTGCGATCCCGTGCCCGGTGCAGTCTTCACGGCGGAGGCGCAAAGAGAAGGAATGCGTGGGACGAAACCAGTCACTATCACTAGCAGCATTCCGGAGCAGGATGAGGCTGTGATGGGCCCGGCCCTCGATCAATCCTCTGCAGCTTCATCCGGCCTCGTTGTGGCAGCTGACTGTGTCGGAGGCTTGAAGCGGCGTGGAGGTGTGGAGGTTGTCGTGGAGCCTCCGCGCGCGAAGGCCATTTCTCGCCCGTTGACCCTCTCGAAATCACAATGAATCCCAAAGCTTTTCTGAGCCCACATGATGCCCGAGGCCACGAACGCGATCCAGCGTGAGCCTCTCTCGGCGCGCTCGGCGCGGTCCCGGGAAGGCGGAATCTCAGCCCAAAGGATCCTTGGGCAACTCGGCGCCGTGGAAGGCGACTCGGGCGACCATGGCGACCCTGACCCGGGCCCGCCGGGCCCTGGCCCGCCCAGCGAACCTCGCAAGCCGAGCTCGGGGCTCTCGGGCGACCGCTCGGGCGAGCCATCGCCAGCGGGCTCCCTGGGCCTGCAAGGCGGACAGAAGAACAGTGCGCCATCTCAGCGGGTCTGTGACAGTGCAAGGCGCTCCTGCGCCAATGGTCGCCCGGCCGCATGCGCAAGGCAGGCCTCCCAGGCAACCCGTCCACTGCTCAGATGATTTGAAGCTTGTGACGTCCTTGCTACCCGCCCTTTTGCGCGGGCCTCCCAGGCGACTCCAGCGGGCTCCGCAAGTACGGAGTCAGAGCAGTGGAATCCTTTATAGCGTTTCAAAGCGGTGCCGACGGCCGAAGAGCAGCCTGCAGCCTCAAAAGACTTCCCACCCTCAGGCCGAGCCTCCCGCGCAGGCGCACACCGTCCCTGGGGCCGGGACCTTGTTTTTGAACTTAGACGAGAAGGCGAGAATTTGAGTCTTCACCTGAGAACGGACTTCGGATGGATCAGGCGCAGACCCAGCTTGCCGAAGGCGCGATCTTCGGATCTTCGGATGGTAGAACTTCGGCTGTCGGCTGTCGGCTGTCGGCAGACGTTTTGAGAGGCTGGCTCTGCCAGACGAAGCTCCTCAGCAGGCGGGGTACCGGCATAGTTTGGAGATCTCCCCGACCTCTTGGATGAAAGATGCACCTCGTTTTGCTCCTTTGTTCGATCCGCCTCTGTGTTTCTCTTGGAGGTCGGTCTGGCAACCGGAAGTTGGTGCGGAATGCCCTCGAAAAGTACTGCCTCAAGGCACGGTGCATGGCAAAGTCTTGAGTGTGATGAGCATCTTTCAGTCGCCTTTGCGGTCAGGGCGATGCCAACCGAGAACAGCGTGAGCTCGTTCTCAAATCCTTCGATGAAGACCTGGAGAGGTTGGAAGACCTACGGCCCCAGCTCAGCTCATCTTAACGTGTTGTTGTAGACAAATTCTCTTAGCCATTCTGAAGCCGGCCCAATGCGGCCCGGCCTTGGGAGGTTTGATCGCTTCATCATCCTCTTCCGGAGCATTCACACTGGCTGCAGCCTTGACTGCTGGCGCTGGCGTTCCGGGCACGACTTTGCGCGACCCAGGCCGGCATGATCTCCGAGCGCTGTATGGCTTTTCAGAGGCCAAAGAAGCTGGCTGCACATTGAAAGACATGTGCAACTCCTGTGTGCTGGCCGTGGATCAGGGAAGCTGGTCTCGCGTGCTGCAGATTCTGCCCTCTCCTGCGCCCTGCCGGCCATGTTCAACATTTCGTTTGATTTTTCAGCTTGGGCAACTCGGGCGATTTGCAGGTCCCTGGAGGAACGGATGGTTGTACAGTGCCTGAGATACGACTCCGGTGGCAAGGACGATTTATGCAGTTGCCTGTTTTTCCTTGGACGTGAAGTGTCGCTTTTGTTTCAGGGAAACAGGTTGCAGGGTCGACTGTAGGGGTGGCGGAGAAGAAGCCTGAATGGGTCTGCCGAAGCTTTTGAAGTAGTCGATCCGTTTGCGTTGCAACACCTTCATGCCTTTACTTCTTCTCAACGCCGCAGGAGTTCAAAGAGGTGCCCGCGTCGCAAGAGCCGCTGTCAGTGGCGGATGCAGCTGGCATCCAAGAATCCCGAACCGTATCTCCTTGCGACCTGAGTTTGGCACTCACATGCTGTGCCGAGGTTTTCTTGCATCCACAATTCTTGCAAAGGTCTCGGGTGGTCGTGCCATGACACGGGATGTCATGTTTTCCGCACGCCATGGTTTCACCAGAATTCGGTATGCATGTAGCAGCTACAAGCGCTGCATGCTGGGCTATACCCATCAGCCCGTCTCGCCAAATGTGTCGTGTGCCTGTTGGGTGGGATCTGGTCATGCAAGGTTCAGCGACATGATGTTATATGTTACCGTGGCTGAAAGGCTGCTGCATGCCTCCGCAACAGCTCTAAAGTTCAACTTACGAGTCCTATCACGCTTCGCCCTTGACGCTTTCGCGTTCTACTATCCTTCTATTTTCCCCGAGGCCGGGTATGAAATGCATGGTTCATGTCACTTCACGCATTCAAGTGCATGATTCGTGATGCACGAGCGGCATATGTTGCGGTTCCTTATGCTGAGCCAGACAGCCTTTTGCAGGCCGTGATACGCTTCTTGCGGTCCAACTAACTAACTCCTTCCCTCAGCAGCGGGTTGCTCGGATGTCGGGCGTTTGAAATGCTTCATGCGCAGCTTTCTCCATCGCAAGATTGAAGTGTCATTCCCAGCATGGTTACTTTAGTGAGTTTCAATGCTGAGGTTATGACTACGCCGGTGCAGTTGTTCCAGGAAGTCTGGAGGCAAGCTCGCAGGGAGCAGAGCTCGCAAAGCCCCACAAACCTACTCTTTGACGTCTGACTACAGCTCGAGACTTGAGAGCTTGCAGTTGTGCACAGTCACACAGTCGGCACGTGGCCTATGCAAAACGCTTCCAAGGGCACGAGAGCAGATACTGCTAGCGATTCAGTGTACTAGAAGGGCCCCCTGCATCGATCAAAGCAGGTCAGTTGCTGCCCTAACCATACAAGCACCAAGAAACAAAAGCAGGTCAGTTGGCCTCGAGCTTGTGATTTTCGCGCTGCCGGCCTCAGTTACCTATTCAAGATTTGTCTTGTCCCCTCATCATAACATTCGCCAGGCAGTGACCCTCATTTGTGCATTTGCGGTGCGCCGTTTCTCTCCATCGCCTGGCCCGAAGCCTACGACGAACCCCACAGCGACCCGTAGCCCACGTAGCTGTAGCTGCGGTTCTCGGGACTCAACTTTAAGTGTCGACAGTGCTGCAAATTGACCAGTGCGTGGCTGACCGAACTTGTCAATCTTGCTTTTGCGGTTGACCAACTTGGCGAGTTTGGTTCATGCCGCTTTTCATTACTCAAGATGCCTTTGACCAACATGCATAACATGCAGTGAGCATTTACTTGTTGACTGGCGCAGGTGCGAAGAGTCTTTCCCAGAAGGCCGCAGTTTTCTCGGTTCTGTCGAGGTTAGAGTCCGGTTAGAGGCATGCCTGCGATGGACCGCAAGGATGCAGACTTGGTGAAGCCCGACTCATTAGCCCTGAGAGGCTTGCGACCTGCCGAAATCTTCTGCGCAGCCGAAGCTGGCTCCCAAGCTGCGGTGTCGGAAGCTCCGCTGAGTCCGTGTTCCAACATGAAGCATTCCTTCCCAGTATTCTTGTGCAATTGGTCTTCAGTTTCATAGTGGAGTGCGCGAGGCGCTGCGAGACGACGAAGCACCGCTTGCCCACCGAGCCGGGATCTGAGCTTCTCTGATTCCCCGGCCAGCTGGAACGACATAAGATCTATGCAATCATGCATTCAAAAAAGCGTGCAGGCTGCAGTCAGGTGTTTCGCTTCTTCACTTTTGCGAAAATGCCGGGGACATTACTTGCGGATTACGGGGTATCTCTTTTGTAATTTTTTGACCTTTTCGTTTGTTTTGTTGGCCAAGTTCCTTGCAGGAAGGATGGCGGGAAAGAAAGGAATGAAGGTGGAAAGAAAGAGCACAACAACGCGTAAGCAGGAGAGCAAGAAAGAACAACGAAGCCAAGGGATGGACATGGAAGAACGGAAAGCCCCTCGACCTTCTTGAGCCGCGCAAGCTCGCCTTCAACAGCATAGCGCCATCAAGCAGAATTGCGTCAAACACATAATTCGTATGAGGCCTTTCGACACCGGTCATGCTCCCACCCCTCCCCCCTCCCCTTCTTTCGCTGTGCAAGCTTGCTTCATCTTGCTACCCCGGGCATACTGGCATTGCTTTTGAAAGGGGGAGGGGGCCGAGCCCCCCCACCAACCTCTCTGCTTGTCAGCCACACAAGCTGCCATGCGGAACATCTATTGCTAACTCAGATTCATTACGAGTCTGATTATCGTTCTGATTATTCCTAGTACTACTGTTTTGCTAATCATTCTTTTCGGGATTAGCGTTAATCGTTAATATTGCCAGTGCTGCTACTAGCACTAGTTGTACTGCCGGTACCATTGGTATTATGATTACTATTCTTGCTTGTTGCTAGTGTCATATCAAATACAAAAGTTCATAGTGCTAGCAGCATTGTTGCTGTGGAAGTGCAGGGTTGCGGTTGACCTGTTGATGCATGCGGTCACATGTGAGCTGAGGGTTTGAGTTTCATGTTAACCACCTTTTCCGCAGCAGAGCGGCTCTTGGTGAAGCAAGCAAAATGTGCCGAGCGAGGTTTCGCCTTTGCAAGGCGTTGCGTTAAGCCAGCCTTTTGCATTGGTTGCACGGAGCAGGGCAGGCGCAGAACATGTCTGGCACAGGCGTGGCAGATGCGGCTGCTGCTGATGGCGGCAATGACGATGGTGCCGGAGCTCAGCCACCATCTCATGAAGCGTGGCAAGGCTCTTCATGGTACTGGTCATCCTGGGATACTAGTGCAACTACGGACCGGGCAGGTTCAGGGCAGTGGGCGTCAGATGACTGGCAAGGGTCATGGTGGCGAGGCCAATGGGAGAGACGGCCTATGAATAACTGGGCTTATGGTTATTCCAGTAGGCAGTCCAGCTGGCCAGGCTACTCTTGGCCTGATGGCGATGACGGGCAAGAGCGGGCACGAGGTGCCCCACTACAGCAGGATGCTCCGGACGAGCAAGGCCGTCGCCGGGCTTCTTTTCAGTCCACGACGGTGACAGATGACTTGTCAGCAGATGCGGCTGAGGACACCAAGGAGTCTAGTGATGCGGGAAGCCTGTCTAAGGTCAATCCGAAGACTGGCAAGGACCACGTCCCGGAGTACGACGGAAAGGCCCCTATGCGTGATTACGAACGGCGTGTTCGCTTGTATGAAAGTGCCACGGGGGTCGACCCGTGCTACAGGGCCCAGAAGCTCATGGAGCGTTTGTCCGGAGCGGCATGGACGGCAACAGAGGGCTTGGAGCTTCAGGACTTGAAACATGAACAGGGAGTTCAAAGACTCCTCAAGCACCTTTATCAGGAGCTGGAGCCCCTCGAGCATCTTCGCGTGTTCAGCACCTTGACGGAGTTCTATCGAGATTTCAAGAGGACCGCAGGGCAAGAGTTTGTCGCTTACGACATGGAGTTTCGTACCCACCTGAAGCGCCTGGAGGACATTGGCGCCAAGCTGGAAGGCCTCACAAAGGCGTACTGGTTCTTGGAGAAGGCCAGTCTTTCTAGTGATCTTCGCAAACAAGTTATATCAGCATCGGGGGGCGAGTATGACTATGCCAAGCTTCGGAAGGCCTTGATGGCTATAGTGCCGAAAGTCAAACGTGATGAAGAGGTGACGAGTACGACCAGGACACCCTTTCGACAGTGGAGGGGCAAAGGCGGTAATCCTCGTCAAGTGAATGCAACCACCGAGGAGGATCAAGATCGAGAAGATGGCGACGACGAGGAAATCGAGCAGGCCCCTCCAGAGGAGTTGGAGGGTGAGTTGGAAGTGCTTTTGACGCAGGCTGCCCGCAAACGTGCGGAAATTGAAAAAGCTCGTGGATTCTCTCGGGGAGAATCTGGACAGGCCAGGGAATCTAGAATAAAGGAGATGAAGTCGAGGATGGCTTGTAGCGCGTGTCGTGCACATGGCAAGACCGTTTTTGGCCACTGGCACAGCGACCCGGAGTGCCCCTATAACACCAAGAAGGGCAGTCAGGACGGCAGTCGCGTGCTTGCGGTGGTCAACGAAGAGTTGAGCGACAGTGAGGATGATGACTTGGTGCTCCCATCGAATGTCATGGCCACCTCTGCAGCCCATGAAGGAAGCGATGAAGATCAGGCCCCATGTGCAGAGGTGTGTGCAAACGTACATGTAGCATCCAGTGAGGAACCTCGGCGAGAAACTCTCGCCCTGAGTGACACATGTTGCGCAAGGACAGTGGCAGGGATTCGATGGATCGAGAAGCATGTGGCTCTCCTTCGACAGCGGGGAGAATCGGTTTTCACTGTCGACGAGGCTCGACCGTTTCGGTTCGGCGGAGGCCCAAGGATCTCCTCGACACATGCGGTCATCATGCCAATCCAACTTCAGGGCTCAAGGAGGGCGGCTACCATTCGAGTGAGCGTTGTTGACCAGGAGATTCCCCTCTTGTTGAGCAAAACTGTCTTGAAGCAGATGGGGATGGTCATGGACTTGGAGAGAGGGACAGTTGAATTTAACAACTTGCAGACGAGAGTTCCACTCAGGGAGACCAAAGCGGGTTTATGTGGGTTCCAGATCAACAACGAGCCCACCGGAAGAAGGCTGGACCATCCTCCACATGAGCTCGCAACGGATGAGAGAGAGATTTTCATCGATCCCCGAGACATCGATGAACAGGTTTGCGTGGTCCAAGGGTCGGCTTGCTCCGACCAGACCAATCCGGTCCAAGGGTCGGCGTGCTCCGACCAGACCAATCAGAAGGTGCGAGCTACCAGAGAGAGTGTCAGGTGGTGTGAAGAATTAGCCCGCAAACTGTATCGCGACAACAACTTCAGCTTTGAAGCTCTTCTACAGTTGGCGAGGTCTTTGCCCATCCGGCATTCGAAGCGCCACCGGGACATCAACGATGGACCAGGACGGGGAAACGAAGCATGGGTGGCAGGGCTATATTCCCACGGAGGCTGGACAGGTGTGACTAAGCGGACTACTCGGTACCCTCGTGTCGTGCGTTACTTGAACATGTTCATGAGAAGTCACACTGATGCTTCATGGACGTCTCTGGCCCTCCTGAAAAACGTCTCCACCGATATCCATGTTGACTCCCACAATCGCAAGGACACATCTACTACAACGTGCACGTTCGGCAACTTCAGAGGAGGCCAATTGTGGGTGGCCAGTGAAGGGGTTGAGTCAGACGCGTGTGTGTGGAAACAGAGCAAGGATGGAGAGTGGCTGAAGGGGAGACTCATTGAGACGTATCAACGTCCCACCCAGCTCAGTCCTCATATTCCGCATGCTACACATGAGTGGGAAGGAGAAAGGTGGTGTTTGTCAGTTTACACCACAAGAACGGCGGCCCAGGTCGACACAGACACTATGAGGGCTTTGGAGAAGCTCAAATTTCCAATTCGAAGAGCGGCGGCTTCCAGGACCTTTGGGGAGAAGCGGCATGTTACATTCATGTCGTCGAATCACCAAGAGCCGCAGCAAAGTTGTGATAACATGGATGTGGATGATGCAGATGAAGCAATGAGCCAAACTCCGCAGCGACAACGTTCAAGTTGTGACAAGTTAGATTGCGAGTTTCAGCCTCCTCTTGGGACTGAGCATGGCGACGATCTTGGCACCCAAGAAGAAGGAAGAGTATGTCATGGCGGTGGCGAGTCGGTGCAAGGTGGCACCAACGGAGCTCAGAGCGCACACCCTAGATCGCCTGAAGGAGCTGTGGAGTGCCGTGAAGCCACCTCGTCAGAACTCAGTGCTGCCTGCGAACTGGGGGAAGTTGGACTTGCAAGGACTTCGGGAACTCTATTCGGGCCGCGTCGTCGACGACCTTGGACGGGACCAGGATCATCACTGGGCTCGATGGTCCCGCAGCCAAGTGATCATGGAGATCGAGATGTGGGCAGCGGACGCAGCAGAGGCTACCCAGATGGACCGCGACTTGGAGATGACAGCTCTGGGACCACTCTGTACCCTCTGCCATATCCCGATGATGGAGAGAACCACTCGGTTAACGAAAGAACCGTTCTGGGGTTGCAGACGGTTCCCCGTTTGCAAGACGACACTCCCGTACCTGTACGATGGGAGGGCCACGAAGCAGGTGCAGGAGGAGCTCCAGGCCAAGGCCAAGCAAGACACGATCAACAAGGAGAAGAACAAGCCTCTCATGCATCGGGAGCGGCCGAAGCCCAGGCGGGCCAAGGAGGACCAAGGCGGCGCGCAGGCCTCTTCGGATGGCTCATGGGTGAGGACCGGCCCCATCAAGATCGATCACGACACGGAGTCATCCCAGGACGAGAGCGGCGAGCCCAAGATCAACACCAACTTGACGCCGGAGGAGGCCGAGCTGATTCAGCAGATGCGAGTTCAGAAGAAAGCTCAGGCCACCAAGATCGGCAAGGGCACGGGATACCCCAGCAAGGAGTAGATGCCGTGATGGCGTGTGAGAACGGTGACGCATCTGAGACGGCATGCAATTCAGCTAAGCAGCCTTTGAGCAAAGATGAGATTAGAAAGAGGGTTCGTGATGGTAATGCTCGGAGGGCCCACTTGAAGAAGGGTGTTGTGAAGAGGCTGCTTGGCAATGCTCGGGCGATGATCGCTGGAGTATTCATTGCATCAACCGCGTTAGCAGGCGCGGCTCAGGAAGCAATGCCGTTTGCTTCCCGGGTACGACCGGACATTGTTGAATTGTCAAGTGGACAACCATATGTTACTCAATCCTTCTCTCGTTGGGGTTGGCATACGGTGAAGCCTGTGGAGATGTCTAGTGACCTGAGTGATCCTCGGAACCGGGAAGCGCTATCTAATTGGATCGAGAACACGTGTCCTCGGCTTGTTGTTCTTCATGGTTACTGTCGGAATGTTCAACATGAGTCGAAGCGGTCAGGTGTCAACAGATCACAGGCTCAGAGAAGGGAACGTCAAGCGAGTGAGAGAATGAGTGGTGTCCGAGAGTTTGTTCATCATGTTCTCGAAAGACAGATGAGTCGACACGATCAATTTTTGATCGACTTGCCAGGCAAGAATATCGGGAGTAGCGACAGCATAGGACCGATCATTTGCAAGCATCCGAACACACATACGGTTCCAGGACATCAGCCTCAGGGTGGTACATGTGTGTGGGCCACCAGTTGTGTCAGGATCGCAGATGAGCTTGGCAAGCTGACTCAGTCACAGCACGAATGCAATCGCAGGGAATCAGCTGACACGCTTCGACGGGACGTCGCAAGGGCCATCTGTCGAGGGTACGCTACTTATTTGCGAGACGTGGATCCAGGCAGGATTCGACGAATGCTCCGAAGTGTGTCGGCGAGGATCAGACATAAAGTCCGCCATGGAGACTCAGACATCCACGAGCTCCGATGGAATGAGAAAAATATTGCGAGAGTACTTAAGCAATGGAGTGCTGTGTTCGCTCAGGGTGATGCGATGGATGAAGATGATGGTGATGAAGAGCTCATTCCCGACCTGGAGGAGCCCCACGGTGATCAGAGAGATCATCATATGGAAGATCAGGCGGGAACGTCCGAGGCGCCTCATCAACATGTCAAGGCCGAGCTTGCAAGCCATGGAATAAGCTTCGAGGTGCCAGTGGGAAGGCGCCTCAGTGAGGCAATTCGCCAGGGCCTGATAAAGGCGCATTGTAATTTAGGCCATCCCAGCAAGGAGGACTTGGCAAGATTTCTCAAGTTAGGCGGTGCTCGTCAGGAAGTCGTGGAGGCAGTTAATTGGATGCGTTGTACTACCTGCGCTCATGCTCGACGCCCTAGCACACACCGTACAACTAACATTCCTCCTTGCCAGCTTGCTTTTGGAGATGAGGTTCAGCTGGATTGTGTGTGCATTCGAGATGCAAACAAGGAGAATCACTGGTTTCTCAGTGTTCTTGACAGAGCGACTTCATTTCATATTCTGGAGCTTCTTAGGGATCACAGTCCTCTGGAACTTCATCGAGCTTTCGACAGGGGATGGTGTAAATGGGCCGGACCACCCATGCGGGTGACCACCGACCTGGAAGGGGGATTCGTAGGACACGAGTTCTGGACCCAGGTTACCCAAGCGGGCAGCAGTCTCTCTTCCATTGCAGGAACCGCCCATTTCCAGGCCGGTAAGATTGAGCGCCACAACCAGACGATTAAGGATATGATGTTCGCGACAATCCGGCAGACCAGCCCGATCGGTAGGGAGGACATGCGTAAGCTCTCTAGAGAAGTTGCTTGGGCAAAGAACTGTCTTGTCCGCGAACATGGATGGGCACCTGTTGCTCTAGTCTTCGGGAGGGAGCCTCGAGTGTTTGGCGAACTGTATCATGAAGGGAATCCAAGTGCTTACCATCCTTCCGTAGGCGAGCCGGGAAGCGACGTTGCTGTTCGTATGCGATACAGATATCATGCGAAGATGGAGTTCGTTCGCAGCCAGGCCCGGCAGATGTTGTTGAAGACGGCTCACAATCGCGCGCGAAAGCTTCCGGTTCCCAAGATTGGTCAGTTGGTCTTCTTTTGGAGAGCTGGAAACCAGAAGAAGGGTGAGAGCCAGAGTAAGTGGTTAGGGCCCGCTTATGTGGTTGGATTGCAGGATCGCAATGCCTGGGTTGCTGTTGGAGGTAGGTGTTTTCTGGTGGCCGGTGAACATCTGCGGGAGGCTGTAGGAGATGAGAAGTTTTTCGGTGATCCGGAGATTCAGAAGACGGTTGCGCTTTTTAAGAAGATCCCGAAAGAGGCTACGTATGAAGACCTTATAGGACAGGAGGACCGCCAGGGTGAACCAATGGATGTCGAAACACAGCCTCTCAATCGTGACCTCACAGATGAGCTCATGATGGACGAAGACACCTGGGCAACTGACGGGTTGAGTGA